CAGGCAAAACATTTTAGCAAGACATCATTCATAACAGTCACCCATGGAACAGTCAAAGAAATTAATCATGTTTCAGCCTACAGGGGAATTACCAATAGGTTCCGTCTTTGTTCATACTACAAAGAGATAATAGAAAACAGTGATAGGGAACTATAGAAATCTCAAATCTATATATTTATTTTTTATTAGATTTATTCATTTTATTTTACATGTGTTTTTTTTTTATATGTACATTATGTGCACCATGTGTGTGCTTGGTACCCAGGGAGGTCAGAAGAGAGCATCAGATCCCCTGGGGGAAGTTAGGGATGGTTGTAAGCCACTGTGTGGGTGCTGGGATCTGAACCCACAATCTAGCTGAATCAATGAGCTCCAGGTTCAGTGAGAGACCCTGTCTTGAGATTGAGGAAGATGTCAGATGTTAGTCTCTGGCTTCTGCATGTATGTGCACACATATACCTTCTCTGGGACTCTCTCTCTCTCTCTCTCTCTCTCTCTCTCTCTCTCTCTCTTTCTCTCTCTCTCTCTCTCTTTCTCTCTCTCTCTCTCATACACACACACACACACACAGAAAAAGAGAGAAAAAAATTTTAGGCATCACTTTGAATCCCATGAATATAAGGCACAAGTAAAACATAACACCAAAAGGAGTTTATCCCAAGAGTTAGATGTTTTTTTCTTTCATTTTTTAAATTTAATTATTTCTCCTTAAAAATTATAATTATAAAAATATTATAATAGTATAATTACATCCTTGTCCCTTTCCTCTTCCAACTCCAAACCCTCCCATGTACCTCTCCTGCCTTGCTTTCTTTCCAATTTACAGCCTCTTTTTCTTTAATTGTTGTTGTTTTGTGTGTGTGTGTGTGTCTGTCTGTGTGTGTGTAGAGATACATACATATATATATATATATACATATATATATATATATATTTCTAAACACATAAATACAACCTCTTAATCTGTATAATGTTTCTTGTATGTATATGTTTTCAGGGATAATCAGTTGACTGGATTATCAGTGGATGTGATCTTCTCTGGGGAAGACTATCTCCCCAGCTCCCAGCATTCCTTAGTTGCCTGTGGTTCTTTGGTAGGGTGGAGACATCATGGGCTTTCCTCTGTCCAATTTAGCATGTCTATGAGTTGTCCTTGTTCAGCTTGTATTTAGATAGTCATGTTGGTGAGACTTGATGGGTGTAGCTTTTGACATTCCAGGAGAGACAATCCCTAGGCAAACTCCCTGATCCTCTGGTTCTTACAGTCTCTCCCCTTCCTCTTCTGCAATGACCGCTGACTAAGTGCAGGAGTTGTTTTATAGATGTATCCACTGCGACTGGGCTCCACAACTCTACATTTTGACTGCTTGTGATGGTCTCCATCTGCTGCAAAGAGAAGTTTCCTTGATGAAGGGTGAAGACTACACATATCTGTGGGTATAAGGACAGATATTTAGAATGTAGTTAGGGATTATGCTGGTTTAGTCTAGTCTAATCTAGTCTAGTCTAGTCTAGTCTAGTCTAGTTCAGTTTAGTTAAGTTGCAGGTTCTTCTCTAAGATCCATGACTTCACAGCTCCAGGTAGTTGATTGTGTTTCCAGTATCAGGCATGGTTCCCCACTTGTTGGGTGAGAGCTGGCTGTTTTAAAAGCACTGTACTTAAACTGACTACAATCATGGAATAACCGTGAAAGGTCATGATAATCTGAGTGGACATAAGAGGGTATTGAATATCATCCTAAATGCTCTTGCAGAATGGAAGTGCATAGATTGGAGAGCTTCCCCAACTCTGACACGTGCTGACCTGAGATCAACAGTAAAATGTGTTTTATAAAAAAGACCCCAGGAGCTTCCCCTGAAGGCCAAAGCCAAGGCAGAGATGCTCCATTTCTCCGCCGATGCTTATCAAACACAGGCCCTGGCTGATTAGGCAAAGCACAGGGAATATACAAAGACAAGGACAGCGAGGAAGAAAGATAAAGAATGCTACTGGAGACGGTAAATATATATCAGTGACCCAGGAGAAAGCCTGATGTGGTGTATATCTGTATGCCTGCCCCGGGAGGGTGGGCACAGGAGGGTCAGGAATTAACAGCCAGCCTTAGCCATGTAGCAAGTTTGGGGCTTCATGAGGCCCTGGAGAGAGAGAGAGAGAGAGAGAGAGAGAGAGAGAGAGAGAGAGAGAGAGAGAGAGAGAACGAACACAAATAACCTAGGAAAATAACCTAGGAATATCAAGGAACAATTAAAATTATTTGAAATTGTCAGCAAAGTCTCTCAGAAACACTTTTTAAACTGCAAAACCCACACAGTTAGCTGATAAAGTATATAGAATTTTATAGAAAAGGTTTATGATCCTAAACAGGAACATGATAAACGGTGGTGTGAACTTCTCATGGCACAGTGTCAGTGTCCCTGTGGAGAGCAAGGATCCGCAGTGGTTTGATGTAGACACCCCCGAAGCCCTGTGGCAAAGGTTTGGTCTCCATCGGGGTGTGGGTGGAAGGTGATGAAGCCTGTAAAGTGAGGAGGCTTAGTGGAAGCGAGCTAATACAGCACGTTACCCGTGTCCTCAATGGGGTGCTGGGACTCGTGAGGCGGATGTCTCAGGTGTTTTTATCACAGTCATGCAGCGCTGACTAACAATGCATTACCAATATCTACATAAGTCCGCAAGATAAAAGCAACCGGGATCATCACTTTGCCGCAGGTCATTTTGAAAAGACATAGTAACTGAAAGTGTGAACAGGCAAACAAATGAATGGGGCTGAAGCTTGACTAGAAACACACTCCAGGGTGCATAGGAAGGGTGTGTGTGTGTGTGTGTGTGTGTGTGTGTGTGTGTGTATGTAGTTGCTGTATGGTCGTGGAAGATTGCCTTAGGGGAAGCAGGATGGAGAAACATAGAATGATATCCTTATCTTACCCTATTAAAAAAAATTTCCAAGGAGAGTTAAAGATCTAGATCTCTGTAAGCCACAGATAAAAACAGGATAGCCTTGAGAATTTGGCATGGGTAGAGACTTCTTCAGAAAGATGGGGAAAGAGGTTGGCTGGCTTTCCCACATCAGAGCTTGCTAGTGTCAGACTTCTGTCTTTTGTTCACTGGGCACAGAGTATCGGCTCCTGTGTGTCGGCTCTCCATTGTCGATTCAGGCTGAGGAGGCTCCCAGGAGCATGTGCCAAACTGGACACCATGGTGGTCTTGTTTTCTTAGACTGAATTGCTGTCCTTGGTGGGGGTTCAAACCACTGGTGGAGAAGCCTCTTGGTAGAGAGCCTCAAAGGCAGGTTTGGTAAGCTGAGAGAGACCATGGCAACTTCATTTTGCTGCTCCCACTCTTTCAGGATGGGTGTGGGTCACCTTAACACAAAGCGTGGGCTGTGCATTGATATCTCACAGCCAGCCCTGACTGTGCTCCAGAATCACCCCAGGAACTTGTTAAAAATAAGTCAGAGGGCCCCGCCCCAACACACTCTGATTCAGGAGGTGCCAGCCTTAGGAATCGACATCTGACCAGCTCCCACGGGTGGCCAGCGTTGGACCTGCCAAACTGGATCAGCCTCCAGGGTCCAGAGGCAGAACAGCTCAGCTCCCAAGGATGGAGACCCACCTGGGCCGGGAATGTGGAAGGATCCACACCCAGAGTGTGCCAGAGCAGGAAGTACGGTAGCTTGGGATGGAGAGGGAATGGTCCAGCAAAGAAGTCGTGCCAGTAAGGACCTGACTGAAGCTGACTCTCCTGGTCCCTTCCTCCTGTCTCAGTCCTGACCCCATGGCCAGGTGGTTTGTTCTCACCTGTTTCCTTCATCAGCCTGAGCCTGGAGAGCAAGAAGCTTACCTTCATGCCTGCATGCATTCATTCAATGTTCTTCCATGTCATTCCATTCCATGTTTATTAGACATTCCTGTGCTAGGGGCAGGCTGCAGCAGGGAGCCATACATTTCCAGGCTGCTAAGGAGAGAAGAGGAGACCAATGGGCTGTCATAAAGTGCACTGAGTTCTACACTGGAGAACCATCAGACACCCAAGAGGGACATCTGTCCTCTACCTTGGGAACCCAGAAGTGAGAAACAACAGCAGTCCAAGAGAACAGGGGTGGGTGAGGGAGGCTGTTTGACACCCCGGGAACCGGCATGTGCAGGACCGTTGTGGGAAGGTGGGTGGTTGGACTGAGAGGTGCAGAGGATACCATGAGGGTTGAGGCAAATCATATGGACGTTAGCCTGCAGGCTGGAACCCTCTAGCCCCGCTGCCCCCTCGGCTCACCAGGAATGGCCCTCTATCCCCGCTGGCCCCTTTGGCTCACCAGAAGCAGGAAAAATGGCTGGGACCTAGAGGAACATAGGTAGCTGTGTGACAAGACCTGAGGGTCCTCTTTCCTGGAGAGAGGGAGGCTTGGGTGGGACTCCTGAGAGTAAGGACAGGAAAGAGGACAGGGATTTCATGACAGCCATCCCCCAGTGGCCATCGAAAATGGCACCCTGTTAAAAGTGGCTGTCACTGAGTGGCGGCATTTTCAGATAAAATTCTGAATTTCTCTTTACTTAGCTAAGTTCTTCATCTCTCTTTGTTGTTGTTGTTGTTGTTATTTTTAACATAAAGTGTATCACTTGCCTCCTCGAAATGAATAAATGAAATTTGTAAGGTGCAAACCTGCTTACTAACCCCAGGGAGTTGGGGATGCCCAGTGCATGTGCAAAGCAGCAGCCTCCAGAGCTCCACATAGCTGGACTGGAGACCAAGGGAAGAGAAGCAGCCGCGGGCTGGGGGTGGGGTTGTCTTCCTCCTAGAAGGCACTGTGGAGCTGGCTTCTCCTGTGAAATCAAAGCAGGGCCAGGTGTGCAGTGGATGCTGAGGGCACCCTGGTGACCTACCCAGAAGCCAGGGGTGGGGACTTACTGAGCCACCTTCCAGGCAGCAGGACCAAGCTGGCCAAGCCTCTTGCTGGGGGCACGTGGCTCCTGCCTTAATTCCCTTTGGGGTTTCTCTTTTCTAGATACACTTTCCAGATGTGGAGCGTGTGGAGTGGGCCAATAAGGTAAGGCCGTGGGTGGGCGGGACAGGCTGGGTTCATTGTCGGCCTGGGCGTCCTCATCTGCAGCCCATTTGCTACTCAACATGGGAGTCCCCGAGCAACCCCGACAGGAGTGTTGTGCAGACCCAAACTTCAGCCTGTACTTCCCTTGCCAGGAATGGGCAGAGAGGCCCCTCCACTGCCCAGCATGAGTGACACATTCCTGCGTTGGTTCATTCACAGAGGAGTTTTCTTAAAGGTTTTTTCCTTTAAATAAGCTTTAAATTAATATCTGGACTGAGGAGGAAAGTTTTTTTTTTTTTTTTTTTTTTTAAGTACAGAGAAAATTTATAGAGAAAAGAACAACCCTATTTCCTTCTTCTCAAGATTATTTTATGAGGAAAGGAAGACACTAATTAGACACAGCATCTGGATGCCATGTGGTTCCCAGTGCAGCTACAAAACCACTGCTGTGCAACCTCGGGCAATTTGCCCAACATCTCTGAGCCAGTTTCCTTATCTGTAAAATGGGAGTGATTATGATTTCTGCCCAAGCCCATGTTGAGTATGGGTTCAATGATGTCACTATTGTGACTAGTGGAAGATCATCTAAGGGAATCCCCCTTGTGCTGGCTAGCTGCTTCGTGTCCTGCCTTCTGACCCTTCTGCATCAGGAACCCTGACTTTCCAGATGAGAAGCCTGGATCCCACCCTCCCGGCCTGATCTGTGAGGGGTCCCCTGCAGCCCACACCTGTAGGCTCCTGACTCAGACTTAAGCCTGGGAGGAGACTCGGTCCACAGCAGAACGCACTTAGGTCAGGTGTTGGCATTCCTGACAGCTGTTGATCCACAGTTGATATTTTCACATTTCCTGGAAATGTCATTACCAAGTGCATCAAAGACTGCCCCGGCCTCCAGGTAGAATTTAGAGGAAACAGCACACTGCTTGAAGAGTGACCCGGGTCCTGGGGTGAAGAGTTGGGTACCAGGCCTTGGGGTCACACTCCACAGAGCCCTTCCTGTGTGCGCCAGCCAGGCCCTGATTACTGCAGAGGCTGAACCTTCACTGAGTGCCATGTGGCCATGGAGGCAGTTGTTAGGGTGAGGACGGAGGCAGCTGTGGAGGTGAACTGCACATGAGGGTGATGCCACAAGCATCGGAGAACACAGGAAGATGGTGTGGGAGAGGCCTCCAAGAAAGGATGAGCCCTGGGTCCCATCACCTTCAGGCTCTACCATGATTATGGGGAGGAGCAGAGTGGAGGGGGGGGACACCTTTATACTGAAGCCCACAGCCCCCGCTTCTGCTCTCACTTGTCCCTGCCGCCCAACGTCTTCACTTCACGCCTGCTGCAATGGGAAGTGGCCGTTACTGGTAAAAAGGAAACTCTAATAGTCCAGAGGTCAGTTAAAAACATTGTGCCTTGCCAGTGAGGTAGCCTGCCCATCCCCATAACACACATGGTAGGTAGGGGAGAACAGACTCCTGCAATTGTCCTCTCACCTCCACATGAGCGTTATAGTGCAAGCACGCATGCGTGCATACAAATACATAGCACACACGATATAAAAAAATAAAAATATTGTGCCAGTATCATTTTGGCAAAATTTGATCGTTGTATAGTCGTGTCTTCACAACATCATTTTTTGCCAATAATGAACCAAAATACTACAGTGGTCCCATGGATTGTAACTGGAGCTGAACATTTCCAGTTGAGAGTTTCAGCCACGTCTTCTCTAGGCTTGGTTCTGTTTACAAACACCGCCTACTGTGTCATAGTTGCCTGCAATGTTCACCACAGTAACTCGCTGGGCAGGTTTGTAGCCTAGGAGCCACAGGCTGTACCAATCAATTGGGTGTGTAGTAGGCTAGACCATCTGGGTTTGTGTAAGTACACTTGATATTTGCATAAGGACTAGAGCATGGGTACATAAGGCCCTGGCATCATGAGGAACTTGGTCCCACACATGACTTTCAGACCAGCCCTGTGACTCATCCTGGTGCAGAAATGGACCAAAGTCTGCCTCTTCTGGCTTGTAGAAATTATACCCACAGGAAACAATTTATCAATCTCTTCTCTCGTCATTTTTTCTTAAAATGTTAGCATCTGTTACTGTATATAAGGTGCAATGCAGAACAAGGGTGTATTTAGGGCTTTGTATTACTGACTTAAACGGAAGTGTGTTTCCATGTTAGGTTGTAAAATATGCCTAAACCTCTGCCTGGTGGTGGGATCTGCTGCTGTCCTGAGTATTTGCAGAATGGATTGATGGGTAGGTGGGAGGCTGGAGAGCAGGCAACGGGAAGACTGTAAACTCCACCCATGGGACCAGGTGCAGAGGATCTGCAGTCTGGGCCCCAGACCTGACCTCCACGGGCCTCTGGCCCTACGTGCAGATCATCACGCAGATCTGGCCCTACCTGAGCATGATCATGGAGAACAAGATCCGGGAGAAGCTAGAGCCCAAGATCCGGGAGAAGAGTGTCCACCTCAGGACCTTCACCTTCACCAAGCTCTACTTTGGACAGAAGGTTGGTGCTGCCTCAGTGAGGTCGGCCTGGAGTTGCTGGGCAGTCTTCTCTCTGTCCTCTCTTCCTGGTTCCTCCCACCCAGGACAGTCACTTGATTCTGAGGATCCCACTGGGCCTCAGAGAGCTTTAGCCCCTGCCTGGGTTTCCCAGCTTGTCCGCCCCAGTGCACAGCTCTTGCCTTCTGTCCTCCTACCCAGCTTTCCAGGGTCCAAGGAAACCAGGGCCAGAGAGCAGAAAGAAACTAAGGAAAATAGTTCCTCTTTTTCTAGAAATTTTAGAAACATGCATGGAGGGAGCCAGATGGATAGAAAGATGAACAACTTGTAACTGCTAACCCCAAGTGTCACCTGTGATCTCTGCCTAGCGGTTTTTGACAGTGCCACACGGCAGTTCAGGGTATTAGGAGCTCACACTAGTTCTATGGAGACCACAGGCATCCTGAAAGACGTCTATCTGAATTGCTTTTGAAGAACTTGGCAGGCAGAGCAGAGGGATTTCACACTGTTGAGCTTAGAGCAGAGCCTACGCCACCAGGCCACTCCTTGGGCACTGACCCCAGGAGGTTGACCAGATGTCCTAGCCCTGCAGGTGACTGGCCTTACTCCCCATCCTGCCCTTTCAAGGCCTTCTGTTCTTGGCCTTGCCCCTCTTCTCTCTGTTCCTCATCCTCCCATTTCCCCTCCCTCCACTGACTGACTGACTGTGGAGTTCTCCCAGGACCTTCACAGGCTCAGGCATGCCCTCTTCTGTCACATATGCCAATATCTTTAGCATTCTCTATGCCACAGCGCCCTTGGGTCAGTGACCTACCATGTCTAAGCTCCAGTTTCCTACCATGTAAAAGGAAGGGACCCATTTCTAAGGGCTGCTGTGAGGCATGAACAACAGACCAGACCTCAGGTGGCCTCTGCAACTGTGTGAACAATGTCCCACATGTGGAAGCCATGTTCTGGTCTAGTGCCCTTGTCCAACTGTGAGCCTGAACCAGGACTATCCTGCCTGGCATATAGTGGGCACCCTAATACCTGTCCCTGAAGATGAGGTATTGGTGTAGCTGAACATTCATAGGTGCCAGGCAATCATCCTCTACTCCCAGCAGTCCCTGAGCATAGCACCCCTCCCCCAAACCACACTTCCAGTGAGCCAGGGCAGAGCCAGGCTGTGTATGCCCTTTCCAGCTTTTACAATTCTAGAAACTCCTAAAATAATAATAATAATAAATTCAAAGTTGCCTAACACATGGAAGATCTTGGGTTCAATTCCAGGTACCACAAAAAGTCTAAAATACCAAATGAACATTAATTAGATGTGAGAAAACAAATCAGAGGTGCAGAAAAAAACATTGTTTTTAATGAACTCCATACTCTGAGAATCTATTCAAAGGATGGTACATTTTCAGAGTTTTTGTATATGTGTGTGTGCACCACACACATGCCAAAGGCCTCCTGGGGGAACAAGCAGAGGGCAGCAGACCCCTGGAACTGGAGTTACATGTGGTTGTGAGCCACTGTATAGGTTCTGAAAACCAAACCCTGGTCTTCTCCAAGAGCAGCAAGTTCTCTTAACCACTGAGCCATCTTTCCAGCCCCAATAATACATTTTAAAACGCCGCTTTCTGTGGAGTAAATAGAAAATTTAATGGAATCCTCCTTGTGGAATTGTTTGAATTTTTTTCCAATGACTTATTGTGAAAATTTTCAAACTTATAAAATGTTTAATGAATTATTCAATGAGCATCGCAGATCTGTTATGTAAACTGTACAGATGTTGATATCTTGCTGTGTTTGATTTATTATATATCCATGCATCTGTCTCTATATCCATCTTTCTCTAAAATGCACTCCAAACTACATAGCAGATGTCAGTGAACTTTTCATCTCAGCATTCTGACATGCATATTACTAATTCAGGTGCAAATGAAATTTAGTTTTTACTCTTGATTAGTCCTAACCAGAGTACCCGAGAAAACAGTGAGCAGAGGGGAGATGAAACAGAAGGGATGGGATCCCTGAACCAGTGACCCTGCCTTCACCATGTGGGGCCAGCTCCTCCTCATCTGCCACACTCCTGTTAAACTCTCTTTAGGAGACCTTGCTACTCCCCACCCCTCCCCCCACAGGAGTGGCTGTTCCTTTGTTGACTCCTCCCATTCCACTATCGTGGGGCTAGGCTGTGGGCATCTGAGGCCAAGCTAGGTCCCATCGCCCCATGTCTTCTCCAGGCTAAGGCCCCATAGAGTAGATACTGGTAAATAGCCGTGATGGGAAGGGAAAGCCAGAAGGGGACCCACGGCCCTTCTGTCCTCTTCCGCAGTGCCCCAAGGTGAACGGTGTCAAGGCACACACGGACAAATGCAACCGGAGGAAAGTGACCCTGGACCTGCAGATCTGGTGAGTCCTGGTGTCTTGGGCACAGGCAGGGCACCTCTTGACAGCAGCTTGAAGATGGAGTGGCTTGTGTACGTACTGATTTGGGGTACAAAAAGCTTTCCTAGGCCACGGCACCTCTGTGCTGAGACCCAGGTCTTTGTGAAAAGGTGGGGTACAGAAAAGTGGATGGGGGATGACTGGCCCCAAGTAGCCAGCCCTGGCTCTCTCTTCAGCCTGAGCCTGGCATCTTGCAAGCCACAGCTGGGCCACTTGCAGGGTCAGCGCAGCCTCTGCAGAGGAGGTGGCTAGAGGGAGCTGGGGTGACGCCAGGAGGCAGGCACTCGTGGCGAGGCCAGGGAGCTTTGAGCACAGAGCTGAGAGGCCGTCTGGAGAGCTGGCCTCTGGCACGTCAGGAAAACGAGAGGGTGAGCTCTGAGTGGCCGTTCCCTGGGCTGCGCACTGCACTGGGCGTGGGCATGCCTTTCCAGTGAGGCTCCTGACGGGCTTGGGCCAGGAAGGGATATTTAAGCAGTAAGTCTCTCCAGAGGTGCTGGGGCGCTGGCAGTGAATTAGAGGACAGGACTAGCCCCTGTGGTTGTCATTCCTTCCCAGAGCCTCACATTCCTTGGCCAGAAACAGATCTCCATTGTGTTGGGTTGGTGGCGGACCACAAAGTGCCCCTGACCCCAGACACTCTGTCACAAGACCCTCACATGAATAGTTCAGCCTCTCAGGTGGTGCTTGGCACCCCAGCCACGCTGTTCTGCCTCTACGTGCTGACCAAGCAGTTCTGTGGTCTGTGACAACAGGCTCATATGCCCATGTGTACAGGTGTGTGACAATCACCTCCCCTTAGCTTCCTTCAGACTTGTGGCAGTCTCTTGACCTTTCCCTCAAAGGCACCCATCCTGGGCTCCTTAGTGCCCATCACCTGCCAGGGGCTGGTCCTGTCTCCAAGGCTTTACCACCTACCCCACCTCTAGCAACAACTAGGGGCAATGGCAGGATGAATCTGGGGGCGCTGTGCATGTGTCCGCTTGGTCAGGAACCCAGAAGTGGTAGAGGAACAGTATGTTTACCAGAAGTCCAGCCTTTTCATCCACGGGTGCCCTGGGGCTAGGTAGTACCACAAAACACTGCTTTCCTAGACAGAAGTAGGGATATGCCTAAGAGGATATCCAGCTGCAGGAGTCTGGGAGGGACCAAGAAAACCTGAGGCTATGGGAAAAGTGATATGCTGAGTGATAACCGAGACTTGATGGCCAGCAACGAGGGCTGAGGCTGTGCATCACTGGGCAAGTTTCCTGCCTGCTCTGAGCAGTAGAACCAACCGCCCACCCCCTTTGCTCTTCCTTCACCCTCCCTGTTTTAGCTACATTGGGGACTGTGAGATCAGCGTGGAGCTTCAGAAGATCCGTGCAGGTGTGAACGGCATCCAGGTGAGTGAGGATGCCATGACTGCTACTCCAGTGCCCGCAGTGGGCTCAGGGAAGTGGAATCAGCTCACACCGGAACCCGCAGGGAAGGACACAATGGTACCAGACGTGGGCTGGTGACATGGGACCAGCTGTGAGGTCACATAGCAAGTGGTGCTGGGCTTCACTAACCCACTGAGCCTTGGGCTCTAGAGCTACCCGTATGTCCAGTCTCCAAAGGTTTTGTCTGCCTGGGAAGGTGAGAAAGAACCATAGCTGAGACCCTGGCAGGCCTGAGAGGTGGAAATACCCCTCTCCAGAAGCTGTGTGCAGACGTGGAAGGCACTTCTGGGTCCCAGCCACCCCAGCTGCCCACAAACCACAGTGCAGTTAGTTCGTGGCCTTTGGTGGCTGGCAGTGAGGTCATAGCTGTGTTCGGGCCTCTGGACATGGACTGTGGTCCCTTCAGGGATAGCAAGTGACCTAGGCAGGTAGTCCTGACGGTGAGGGAAGGTAGCATGAGTGATAATGAAGCCCCCAAGGGACTGAGCTGAGTGGCAGGCATGAAAAGATGTTCGGTCCTTCACAGCTCTCTGTGCTTACCAGTTGCAGGGCACCCTGCGTATCATCCTGGAGCCCCTGCTGGTGGACAAGCCCTTTGTGGGAGCTGTGACCATATTCTTCCTTCAAAAGCCGGTGAGTCCAAAACCTGGGGATGGCCTGGTGCTCTCCATGAGCAGACACTGGACCTCACATATTGGGATTTACCCTGAGAATGGACATTGCTTCATCCCACCACAGCTGGACTCCTATGGCCCAAACCTAATTTGGTCCTTAAGGCAACCCAAGGAGTTAGACTGAGCTCTGCCCATGATGAGGAAACTGAGCTGAAAGAGGGTCACAAGGCCTCAGAAATGGAGCTGAGACAAACCTGGACTCTTGAGGCGAGGCCAGCCTGGCCAGGTGGCACAGCCCCCTTCTAGGGTGGGCCTGGCATGAAGCAGCAGGCCTGAGCAGCCTAAACTAAGGGCTGGATTCTTGTTCTAGTTTCATCCTGCTGTTGTGTTCAAACACTGACTAGAAGAACTTAGGGGAGGAATGGGTTTATTTCAGCATACAGGTAACAGTCTGTCAACGAGGGGAGTCGGGGCAGGAATTCAAGCAGAGATCTACAGCAGAAACCATGGAGGAAAGCTGCTTGCTAGCTCACTTAGTCTCATGCTTATCTAGCTTTCTTATACAGCAGGGCCCAGGGAATAGTGTCACCCACAGTGGGCTGGACCCTCTTATATTAATTAACAATCAAGATACCTCCTACAGCCAGTATGGTTGGGGAAATCCCTCAATTGAGGCTTCTCGGGTAGCTCTAAGCTGTGTCAAGTTGACAAAGCTACCCAGGACACTCTGCCATGGCATACCAGGTTTGGCAGGCTGAGAGACATCCTCTTTACCTCAACCCTGCAGCAGGGGCACCCCAGCAAGCAGGGTCTCCCTTTGGGTGGTATGACGAGTCTGGAAAAGGTGTCAGCCCTGGTTCCCAGCTCCTTGAGCCAAGCAGCCTCCCTCTGCCCTCTGCCCTCTGCAGCACCTGCAGATCAACTGGACAGGCTTGACCAACCTGCTGGACATGCCAGGTATCAAGTAAGTGCCTGGGTGCGTGGAGGAGGGTGGGGGCATTCCCTGGAGTCCTAATAGTGCTGTGAGTTGCACAGAGGCTACATCCCCTCCCCCCTGCATAAGAAGCTGGAAAAAGGGGCAAGTACCAGGGTGTGTGTGTGTGTGTGTGTGTGTGTGTGTGTGTGTGTGTGTGTGTTCATGAGTGGTTGGAGAAAGCTAACCTGTGGACAGGTGTATACACTCCTGTTGAGAGCTTTGCTCAGTGCTAGACTGAGGAGCTGGCCTTCTTTGTCTTGAGGTTCCCAGAGCACACGCACATATGTGTGGTAGAATCATACTGTGTGTGGAACACAGGTGAGTGTCTTCACTCTTCACCCTTCCCCACTCCAGTGTAGTGAGAAGCCCAGGGGGCCCCTGTGACCATGGCTGACATGCACAGAGATGGGAAGGGGCATTTTCTCCAGCAGAGGCCAATGAGAAAGGGCAGGACTAGGGGAAATCTCAGCTCCCCAGGCCAGGTGCAGGCAGCCCTCAGATACCAGGCATCCCTCAAGGAGCAGAGGAGGGTGCCAGTGTCATTGGATTTTCCTTCCCAGGAGGCAGGGTCAGCTGGACTGGTCAGGAAGGCTATCGGCTCTCTCTCCAGGCCTCAAGGAGGGCCACACATATGCTCACTGGGGATGTCCCCTCTGACACATGCATACAATGAAGTCTATCCATCATCCGCTTCCTCCTCTAACTCTCCCCGCCCCCCCCAACACTTCATGTCCTCTTTTTATTTGTATTTCAAATAACCCATGAAGTCCAATTAATGCTGACTATATGTGCATGATTGTGGATCCATCTACTGAAACATGGAAAAATCTACCAGTGGCCACACCCTCAAGAATGGGTCTCCCTCTACCAGCAGCTGTCCATTGCCAGTAGATTCTCAGTTATTGGTGAGGCCTGGAGAGCTCCTCCCCTTTAGGCTCACATTTTGTCTGCTTTGATCTTGTGTATGTCCTGTGCAGGTAACCACAGCTACTCTGAGTTCGTGAGCATGATCGCCATGTCCCGTCCAGGGGTTGGCATTTAACTTGCCCCATCCTCTGGCTCTTACAGTCTTTCCCCCTCCTCCTCCATGGTGGTCCCTGAACTTTGGCAAGGGGGTTGATAAAGATGTCCCATTGAAGCAGTCATGCACTGTTATTCAAAGAAGACTTTCTGCACACCTACTGTGTGCTAGTCCTGCTCTGTGTACTGTCCTCTTGTGGGGGAAGGTGAGTCAAGGAATAGAGAATGTCGCCAGGGTCAAGGAAGAGAAAGGCTTCGGTGGCCAGCTGTTAGGTCTTGTTTCCTGTGGCCTCAGCGCTGTTCTCAGTACTGTACCCATCACTCCCTTCACATCGCCTGCAGGTGCAGGTTAGCAGCCCTGTGTCAGGACGCTGAGGTCAAGGGATGGGGACACCCATCTGAGGCAGGGAATCAGGGAGTATGAATGGGAATCTTGACCTAGGCTCTGGGATCTGTTCTTAAAGTGCTCTGTGTTGCCTGGGAACAAAGCAGGGCCTTTTTTTTGGGGGGGGGGGCTCAAGCAGGATGCTGTTCCTTGGGTCACTATGTCTACGTCTCGGAATGTATATCTGCTTGTGCTAAGCAGCTGGTCAGGAAGAGATCAGCGTTGCCTCTGGTGGAGCCTTCTGCCAAGCTAGACTCTCAGTGCCAGCACTGAGGGTGGGTACAGGGGCAGGTGGCATGGGGAAGCAATGTCACCCTCCACAGCCAGCCATGCCCGATGTTTCAGTGAGGTATCAGACAGCCTGCTGGAAGACCTCATCGCTGCCCACCTGGTGCTGCCCAACCGTGTGACTGTGCCTGTGAAGAAGGGGCTGGATATAACCAACCTGCGCTTCCCTCTGCCCTGTGTGAGTACTGGGGGCTGGCTCCAGAGCATGGGGCCACTGAGGAGGGATGCTGGCCAGGGCTGGGTTCTGAACAGTGCTCATTGGTGGCAATCCTCATGCTCTCCTTTGAGGCCATGGCAACCCATTTCACAGGGTGCCACAGAGGCTGGGAAGGGTGGGAAGGGGCAGCACCCATGTAGTTTTCCTATGTCCCTGTCCCCGGTGTAGCTTACAGTTGGAACTGTGGGTAAGCACTCCATGACACCTGAGGTCCCCCTTCCTCTCTCAGGAAGGCTCCCTTGACTCTGTTCAGTGTGGAAAGGACCTTGGGATCTAGAGAAGGAAGGTTCTTGGTTGAACCAGGATGGGAATTCTTTGGGTTCTGAGCCCATTTTCCCCAGCTTCCTGGGGTCCATCCACGAAGCCCCTGGAGATTGCCCTGTGGCTGCCCTACAAAAAGTAGCACTGGCTAAGGGGCTGCAGTTAGGGGGTCCTAGAAGAGGAAAACATCTCCATTTTACCTTCTGCCAGGTGAAAAGCCTCAGATCTTCTGCTCATGCTCAGCTGGACATATACTGTAGTGCACAAAGTTCGGGGACATGGGGTGGCTGGGGAGGCAGCATGGACGCCCCGTCTTCCCATGGCAGCTCACTGGCTTTTATCCACACTGCATATGCAGCAGCCCTGTAACAATGTAAACACCGTCTCACCCATGTAAGAATTCCTAAAAACATGTCATTCACAAAACGTGAATATTCCACTAGGCATGGCCTGACAATTTGCCACATTTAGAATTCTTTGGGGATAGCTTCTGTGTGTTTCTGGTAACTGGTCATGAATATGTACATCTATTTCATTCTGTTCTCTATCTTCAAGTTTTACTTTTCAATTTTCTACAATTATGGAATATAGCTGTGTGTTTCTAGAGGCCAATACCAAAACTGCATCTTAAGGAGCCTCACGACCTCTTCTTCCTTTCCCCCAACCCCTGACCCCCCCCCCACTACCTAAGTAATGGTTTTCTTTCCATTGTATTTGAGCGTTAGTAAATGTGGACACACACACACATAGTCATGTGTGTACATCTTTGTTTATATTCATAGTCCCCGTTTACTTTTCTTTTTAGATTTTGGTTAGTTCTCTGAGGATTTCATATAGTGTATTTTGGAGAGGGGGGATGGACACCAAAGCCATGAAGGCCCACTCCCAGCTGAGGAACTCCTGGCAATCAATAGTTGCTAGGAGGAGAATTAACCTACCAGGGGCTGTAACCTGCCTTTCTGTCTCCCTGGAATTTTGTCTGGTTTGAGCGTGCTCAGGTCTTGGACATGCTGTCACATTACTGTGGGTTCATATGTGCAGCTCCCCGTGATGTCTGGAAAATGCTGTTTCTTTGTGGTCATCCATCACCTCTGACTCTTACAATCTTTCCACTTCCTCTTCCACAATGATCCCTGAGCTGGGTTGTGGTATAGACGTCCCATGTAGGGCTGAGCATTCTAGACTCTCATTTTCTGCACCTTGGTGAGTTGTGGGTCTCTGTGTTAAGTAATCACCATCTACTGCAAAAAGAAGCTTCTCTGATGAGGGCCGAGAGATGCTCTAATATATGAGTATATCAAGTCATTGGGAGTCAGTTTAATACTATACTCATTTGGCCGAATCGTCCCCTGGAGCCATGGCCTGTCTAACTATAGAGTCTTGAAACCAATCATGGTCCCAGGTATGGATTTCATCTTGTGGAGTGGGTCTTAAGTTCAGTCAGAAAGTGGGTGGTTTACACCTATGGTATTTGTGACACTGTTGGCACCAGTGGCCATGTATTGCCAGGCCAGTCCTTACTGTAGCTTTCAGGGTTCAGAGCTGGGAAAACTGATTGCTTTTCTCCTTCAGTAGCATGGATAGCACTATGAAAGTTAGCCAGTAGAAAATGAAGCTTCCTGTTCAGTACCAGCCTGCTTTCTCCATGTTCCATGACTCTCATATATGATATTTTCTGCAACAGGGTTGTCCTAGCTAGGGTTTTGTTTGCTATGAAGAGACACCAGGACCACAGCAACTCTAACAATGAAAACATTTAATCAGGGTGGCTCACTTATAGTTTCAGAGTTCAGTCCATTATCATGATGGGGAGCATGGCAGCATGTAGGCAGACGTGGTGTTGGAGCTGAGCGTCCTACATCTTGCAGGCAACAGCAAGTCAGCTGAAAGTCACACTGCAGGAAGCTTGAGCAAAAGAGACCTCAAAGCCCGCCCCCACAGTGACACACTTCCTCCAACAAGGCCACACCTCCTAACAGTTTCACTCCCTGACCCTCAAAGCTTATAGTCATACCATAATGCAAAAAGTGCATTCAGTCCAACTTCAAAAGTCCCCATAGTCTATGACAGTCTCAAACTTGTTTCAAAGTCTAAAGTCTCTTCTGAGATGTATGGCTAAGATGCATGGCAATCTCTTAACTATAACCCCC